TCGAGACAACTGGATTAAAGTTATGTCTGAATACTCTGAGATCGCCCCAATAGCACTTTTGCTATTTCCCGACATCCTACCTGTGTGAGGCGGGGGGGATTATGCAGCAACGGCGACGAAAACAAAATTACGAAGTAGACTGGACATAAACCACACACTTGCGGTGTCATTGTCTCTCCTATTACCCCGAGATGGGACCGTCTGGTTGCAGAAAATCAAGCTCGGTGCTGTGGTGAGTGGTCATTTTCATGCACTTTGAATTTGCGTTGTATCGTATTTTGAAGGCATTAAACATTGCCATAGCGATTGGAGTGTTGCGGCCAGATTAGACGCTCCTTGTGTTTATTATTATATTTCGAAAATACCACAGTTTTCATGCAGCTCATACCATATTATTTTGTTGTATTATTTCCGCCACACCTTAAATGCCGGTCCCTGAAAATATTGTCTGACATAAACCGGTCCGTGGGGCAAAAAAGGTTGGGGACCCCTGGTTTAGCACACATCTCTTAGGCAGTGGTCCCGTGCCCAATCTTTTTTTTGCACCACAGACCGCAACGACATGTTTTGATGAATTGTTGGAGCCACAAGACAGCGATACGGAGATAACCATATCGCCGGTGGCTCTCCGACAACACATTTGGACACAATCTAAGGGTGAATGTAGTAGTTGTTTGCGCTGGAGCTAGCCTTATCTATCCATCTGCCACAACACCGCTTGTTCATATCCGATGCAATGTGCTGTGAGGGTTCTGTTTAAAAAAAAAAAAAGTATACAATTTTTTGTATTGTTCAACCGAGAAGTATGTTCAGTGTCACATTTAATTAAGTAAGCAAGTCATCAGACAGAGAATCCCGTTTCTCAAATCCAGCACCATGAGCTACATATTTCACACAGGTCACATTGAAATAATTTTAAAATGTTTTCTCCAGACTAAAAATAGTAGTCGGATCATAATGCTATAATTTTGTCTATGGTTCACATCTGTACTCTGTTTGTTGTTGCAGTCTGCCCAGAACCTGGCTCAGATCAGTGACCTACAAGCACAGTTGGAGGAGGCTCTCAAAGAGAAGCAGGAAGTGCATGAGACAGTAAGTGCACTATGTTTCTGCTTTAGGCATAGCAAGTGAAAACATACAGTCAGTGGAAGGATGTAAAGCCAAAGATTTCTTCCTAAACTATGCCTCACACAATTAATAAATCAAATGATGTGAATAGGAATCAAACAGATGATACAAATTGACTGGATGTGTTGGTTTCCAATGTTTCAGAATACTGGTACATCCTGCATTATACAGTAGTTGCCTTGACTTGCAAGTTTAACCATGGCCACCCTTATAACACATTCATTTCTCAAATCGACTCCACCCATTGTAATGAATAGAAATCCATTCCAAGCCCCCCCCCCCACTCCCCAAAATACATATTTGTTTTGTTTTTATTTAAGAAAAATATCACTGTTGTAAAATATACATATGAAAAATAATAAAATGTCAAGAAACAAAATGGTTTTATAAAGTGCAATCAATCAAACAATTAAGAAATAATTTAATAATTTGTTTTTTAAAAATGACACCCACACATGTGGAATGGCCAATCGTGGATTTAAAAAAAAAAAAAAAACGTTGACCAAAATGTGAATTCACATTTTTGGCCGGGAGCGAGCGATATGAGAGTTGCAATATGTTTAAAAACATTTTTTAAAAACTAACATATGTTAACGTTGCCATAGATGCAAGTCCTCCAGAGTCAACTAGACTTCCAGGAGCAGTCCATGGTGGAGAAATCCCTTGTGAGCCGACAGGAGGCCAAGATCCGGGAACTTGAAACTAAACTGGAGTTTGAGAAGACCCAGGTCAAACGCCTGGAGGTGAGAACCAAAGACAGGGCAGTTGTACTTATGGTGCTGGAAGTGGTGGGCGGCAGATGTTGGGCGAGCAAATGGTGCTATCAGCATGGTAGGGTGACCTAAAAAAACTAAGAAAGGTCATGAACATAAAGTATACTGTAAATACCACCATCTGAATATATCTCCAAAGACTTTATTGCACACCTCGTTGCATATTATCCCTGTTTTACCTTTAGCTTGCATTACTCTCTTACTTCTTACTACTTACTAATTCAAAACTGTGCAGGTTCCGTTTGGCAATTACTCACTGTGTAATTTTTTTGTCAACAGCGGACTGTCAAGAAGGAAAATAAAAATGCTTGGATGCTGAAAGGAATAAAAAAAAAAACAAAACAAAACAAAAAAAGATTTTTAATCATACTAGCATGAGTTCAACTAATTGTAATTGTGATTTCAATTTTGGCTTCTCTTTATCTTACAAACGTTATGACCGAAGAAAAAAGAATAGTGGGCTGAACGGTTTGGTGTTTGAGTTCCCAATGTTGTAAATGGAACCTGAATGCTCCATGCTGCTTACATACATGCGTGATTCTGCCGTCCCTAAGTGTCCTCTAAGCTGACACCCTAGTTGGAGTCAACTGTCAGACTAAACACACAAGAAAAATAATTACACTCATAATACCATAAATGTTTCATTTCAAGAACATTGCCATTGATAATGCTAAAGTCAGTGTAAAATGGATGGATTTACAAGGCATGAGGCTATGATGATAGTTTGGGCTTTTTGAGTTTTAGAAGGTCAATAAATACAAAGTTTTGAAGTCGATGGAATAGACATTTTATTAATCGGGATTTCAATCTCAGTCAGTGTTTCCATTATTGTGCAGCCCTGCTCCTCGCCACCAAAAACAAGAGGGACTGAATGTTTCTGGTTGTCAAAATATGGAAGCAGGATTTAATTAATCTAGTTACAAAAAGACACTACATTGTACTCATACTCAACTCTTGGGAAATAGTCTATGTAATATGGGGAGTGGCAAATCTAAGGCATAACTTGCTGGTTACATGTGTCCCTTACATTACGGTACATACTGAATGTTACGGCAGTCTAATCTCATTTCCTTTTTCAGAACCTTGTAGCACGTCTCAAAGAAAATTTGGAAAAACTGACCGAGGATCGAGACCAACGCAGCAGTAGCGAGATCCGGGAGAAAGAACAGAGCAAACGATTGCTGAGACAGATTCGCGACATGAAAGAAGAGATGGGCGAACTCGCCAAAAAGGAAGGAGAGGCCAGCCGCAAAAAGCATGAGCTGGTAAGTATGCAATAGATCAGTGATTCCCAACCAGTGTGCCGTAAGAGCTTTTAACAGTGTGCCACGGGAAGTGTATCAAATTTCACTTCATAGGTGAGAAAATTATGTATTCATAACAAATAATGTATCTCTCTATCTATGCCAGCAATTTATAGTGACAGAAAGAACAAATAAATGATGTTCTATTGGATGGCACAAAGTATGAAATTGACACATGCATGCATCCTCTTTTTTCCAACAATTTTGTTCGGTGGTGTCCGGTGCGATTTTTCAAACTTAAATGTGTGCCTTGGCTGTAGTAACCGCTGTCACTGAAAAGTTCAAGGCTGGGAATCACTCGAATAGATGAAATGAAATAATTGTCTAATCAATGACCAAATGATGAGACTTTTGATACCGTCCGTTCAAATTCAGACTACTTTGGAAAGATTTATTTTGTGCTTTGTACCATGAACAGGAAATGGACATTGAGAGCTTGGAGGCTGCAAATCAGAGCCTGCAAGCAGACCTCAAGCTAGCCTTTAAAAGGATAGGTGACCTCCAGGCTGCCATTGAGGATGAGATGGAAAGCGATGACAATGAAGACCTTATCAATAGGTACAAATTTACACTGATGTTACACATGATCGTATGCAAACAAAATGCAAATTGAAAGGAGGTTGAGCGTTCACAGATTTTAAATGACAGAAGTATTTCTGATGGATCAGTCATTAACCCCGTTTACTTGATCATGATATTGCTAAGACACCAATTAGTAAAAGGCCATACCAGTACTTTGGTATGAGGGTGACCTTATTGTTATGATAAATTCTATTATACTTTATTGATTCTTCAATATGCGTACTGAAGAAAATGCGCTCCTCTGTGATGCCTGCTAACAGAGTGAAAATACCGTATTCTTCATTACGAAAGGCTTTTTTTCACTCACTATACAAGACACAGAGAAGGTGGCATGTTGAGTCCATATCCATAAAAGCTGCATGTGTCCACTTAAGGTAGTTTGTCATGAAGGAAAAAGAAAAGGGTCACCAAAGCACCAGCCGCAAGAATTTCAAGCATCATTCACATTGTACATTTTCCTTTTGGCTTTGTCATATTTTTTTTCCATGTGTGTTCTCTTCTGTTTGTCCACCCATCATTGCAACCAGTTTACAAGACATGGTGACAAAGTATCAGAAAAGAAAAAACAAAACGTGAGGAATGCGAGCTTGTGATTTTTTTTTTTTTTTAAATGTATTTATTTTTCTTTTTTTTAACCGCTGGGAATGTTGAAGAGTCTTTGAACACAGAGAATCTGTGCTTTAAAGGATACCCTTTTAAAACAAATCCAGATTGAAATGCTCCTGAATTCAAAGCAGTTTTGTCTCAGATTTGAGTCTTGATAAGTGAGACGTTTTGATTGCAATACGTTTTTAACTTAGGCTTCAAAGCCACATTTCCACCTTGCAGTATAGTTCGGTTTAGATCGATACACAATTAACAAAGATGGAAAAAGGAGGCATTCTGCATGGGAACTGCTATGGAATGGGTAGACATAAATTATCCTTGTCTAGACATGGTGTAAACGGCCACGAGCTCAAAGTAAGTTAGGATTGGCTCCAGTTTACATGTGACCCTGAACAGACTAAGCGGTAGAAAATTGATCTATAAATTGTCATTTAATTCATCCATCCCTCCCAATTTTTATGATCCGTTGATCCTCAAGAGGGTCGCAGGCGTGCTGGAGCCAATACCACTTGTCTTCAAGCGGTTGCTTGGGTACACCCTGAACTGGTTGCCAGCCATTTGCAGGGTAACGACCAACAACCATCCGCACTCATACTCACACCACACCTAGGGACAATTTAGTGTGTTCCATTAACCTGCCACACATGTCTTTGGATTGGTATGTGGGAGGAAATCGGAGTACCCGGAGAAACCCCACACAGGCACGGGGAGAACATGCAAACTCCACACAGGAAGGCCGGAGCCGGAATCGAACCCTGCACCTCTGCACTGTGAGGCCGACGTGCTAACCAGTCGTCCACCTGGTCCGTCTTGTCATTTAATAAAAATTTTTTTTTTTCTTCCCACCACTTATTAGTTAGAGTTACAGCATATGATAATGGAACGGACTTACTGCTCAAACCGTACCGTGATGAGCTGAACTCAACTGTACTGTTTGGTGGAAACAATGTCTACCACTTTGGACACCAGATCCACACAATCACCAATTCAAACAAAAGCAAAAGCCTCATAGTTAGGTGAAAGGGAGAGAAATAATCAATCGAAAGAGGGTTTCCTTTGATCCATAAAAGGCTTAGGCATCATGCATCAGCAACAGTGCTCAGAGATTCCTCATAACCCTGGTGTACACCATTGCTGATTCGGGATGTAACGATAACGGCGATATCTTGATATTAAAATTGCTACAATATCGTCGGCGTCATGTTACCATATTAAAAATAGCACATCACCCTCCGCCCGCCCGCACTCCCAAAAAAAAACTCATTGCCCGCTTCAGCCAACGAACACAGTATTGTGAACTACTTTTTACATAGACCATGATACTTTGCGCCAATGAGCCAAGAAGAGCACATGACAGTAACAGTAACTCCAATATCATGAGTTTTTATACAGTACCATGTGCGAGTTTATATCATAATTAGGTTCATATTGTGATAATTTTCTCTCGTGACGTTTGGATATCGTTACATCCCTACTGCTGAATGCATGCCCTCACATGCTGAGATGCATGAATGTCACTGATGATGTGTTGTATCCCCAGCATGAAGCACATTTCCCTCCTCAGATTCTGCATATTGTTAAACACTTGGCATATATGAAGTAACTAATGTTGCAGAAGGTTTTGTGACGCTGTTGTGTGTCATGTTGGAGCGTGATTTCTTTTGAATGAACTGCTGAGGTTTGCTCCAACCGATCTTCATTGTTTTAATTTATGTGTTTATGTTTAACATTAACCATAAACTTAGTCTATGGAATATTAATGGGTCGCTGTTGAAACAGGGTGAGTTTCTCATCAATGACCTGAGCTTGCTTAACCCTTTCAGGGACAGCGGGTGCAACAGTGGACAGCTTATCATGTTATCAGGTCACAGGGTGCATCAAAGGGTTATAATGCAGAACCTTGAAATGTCTTCCCAAAAGCTGCCTTGTTCACCAGGCAAATCACCTGCACACAACGTTCACCTTTGGCTCTCAGTCATGGGACTCCCTTGACAGTTTTTGGCATTCTGTTGTTGCCAAGGCTGACTCATTCAAGACGGAATTGTGAAACAAGATTTACACTCATTTTAATAATGTTTCATTTGTGTTTGCATTTATTTTATCAACATATTTAAATGATGTAACTACATACATGAGACTGCATTATAATGTAACATAGACTTGGTAGTAATTTATTTTAGGTCAGATTATTTACATTTTACCAGACTATTAGAAGGTACTGTTTCGTACAAAACCACAAAAATGTTTTGAAAAGATGTCATTTTCTTGTTGGGCTTGAAAAAGATTTGTATCCCTGTGTGTGCGCCGGAGCTGTACGGATGAATTCCGAAAACAGTTCCACATTTCGCATACACTAATATGCCATCTACGAGATAAAGGGGCACAGAGGAATGGGGCTTTGCAGGGCAAAGAGATCCGTGTTATAGATGCGAATGAACAGTGGGGAGAAACAAACAACCAATGATGCTTAAAATGCCATTGACAATGATTGTCTCTTTAGTGCTGTTTGTTTGCTTCTCTAAAGCTTTACATGGCAATCGACTATCAATCAGTCACTCCATCCGACTTTATATACTCAGTAGCACTTTTCATGAGTAAAATGCAGCACAAAGCGCTTCGTACAATGAAAGCAAGGAAACTAAGCAAAACCATTCCCAACGACACACATTAACAGATGCGTACATAGACGGTGTGTTTTTGGATGAGAAAAGCTCTTCTTGGTGATATGCCTGATGCGGTGTTTAAAGGTTACATTTGAATCAAAGACCACACCCTGAGTCTTGATTTTATCCGATGTTTTAAATGTTAGTGCTTTTATTTGAAGATTTGTTTCTTTCTTTCCGCCTTACTGATTCAGGACTGATAATCCGTGCTTCTGTTTTTATCCTGGTTGAGCTGCACGAAGATTTCTGTCATCCACGATTTCATATCGAAAATACAATGAAAAGGGGCATCAACTGCTTGTGTCCTCAGTAGACTTGGCCCTCTAAAGCTGAACTCTCCAATGTAAATAAATGTTCAATACGGGTGCAATAAATAACACTTTTTTTTAATAGATTCAGAGACTCACCAATGAGACCCAAATAATACTTTATTGCTGCTAGAGTACTAGTTATCGAGATAAAATATGAACACCATGGGGCCAATAGGTTAGCGTTCATGTTTAATAAGTTTAAATTCAAATTTCAGGGAAGGTTTATTACGCCGCTACCGAGAGCAGATTTTTTTGGAAAGCTTTGGAAGTCTGAGTGTTGTTTATGTCCGCTGCCACCTAACAAAGGTTGCACTCATCTTATGAATGTCAAAGGTGACAAGCTCCAGTGAAGTGTTGGTCTGTGGCTGCTCATGGGCTTGTGTGTTAAAAGGGTCTTTTTGAGCTGACTGCAGAAATAACACGATGCTTTGAATGCTTCATTGACATTGGCAACCCACCTTGTGTCAACTCGTGCTCCTGCAAGGGCTTCATTGATTTCTGCCTCTTTTGACTCGACTGCAACACTGTAATATTTCTTTGAGCTGATTCTCTAATCCTCTCTGCAACTGTCCTCCCCTTTGCCCTGTCTTAACTGGTTTTCTGTGTCTGATTCCCCACTAGTCAAGGGGATTCAGACACTGACTCTGAGGTGGAGGGTCGTGTGGATGGGGTGAAATCCTGGTTATCCAAAAGTAAAGGATCCGCCAAGAATTTTTCAGATGATGGCAGCCTGAAGAGCTCAAGGTCAGTGGAGAAGTAAACATGCGACATTACTGTCCGAGCGATAGCTCTTTCTTATCTTTCTTAATCGTCCATTCAGACTATCTATTTATTTATTTGGGGTTGAACGGGGTTTTTCTTAGCTGATAAGGCACATATTGATATACAGTATAGGGCACAATGATTGGAAACAAAGAGTAAAATTGCTTTTTTGGATCGATACAATTCGATACAATGAACACAATTTCAATACGATTTATCGATATGGTAACAATAGCTTTTCTGTAAATAAATGTATACTAATTAAAGATAACTCCAAATAAACACAATAGAATGCCATTTCATTGGATTTTATTTAAAAACTCACTCAGCTGTACTGATTCCAAAATGTAAAAACCTCAAAATCAGAACAAGCTACTTCTCGTAACATTCTAGCTTCAGCAAAGTGAAACAGAACAAGCTCGTTCTCTTTTTAAACATGAATTTACCATGCTATCAGCATAAACTGGTTCTTTTTTAATGCATCAAAGTGAGAAAGTTGAGGAATGCTCATCAAACACCTGGTTGGGACTTCCCACAGGTGAACAGGCTAACTGGGAACTGCTCAGTCATTTCCAAGCAACGATGGGGCAGGGTTCACCTCTTGGTGAACAACTGTGTAGGAAAATAATCGAACAGTTTTTGGACCGTGTACAATGACAAAGAATTTGGGGATTTCATCATTGGTCGGTCCATAATTTCATCAAAAGTTTCAGAGACACTGAAGAAATCACTGCATGGAAGCGGCAATGCCAAAAACAAAGTCAGTCTCTCTCTCTCTCTCTCTCTCTCTCTCTCTCTCTCTCTCTCTCTCTATATATATATATATATATACACACACACACACACACACACACACACACATATATATATACACACACACACACACACACAGACACACACACACACACATTAACAGCACAAGCAGTGCATCTACTCCGGTAAATAACCACACCTCATACTGATGTTCAGAATCATTTTATTGCTCATCCATTTTGGAATACCATGAAAACTAAAACAAACACATTCCCAGGTATTTAAAATCCATATTTAAATTTTTTTGACACCCATCTGTCATCGTCAATCCATCACTCCGTCATCGTTATTTTAAACACACTTCCATCATCGCTAAATTACAATTCGTCACTGCTACTTTAGGACCGTCAGTAAAAAAAAAAAAAAAAAAAAATGGTTTCCAAAGGTAACTGCAGTGGTGGGCGCATCAGTAATTTTCACCAGTCCGTCATTCGTCTGTGGCAAGCGGCCAGCCCGCCAGTCCGTCATCATCAGTTCGTCATTAATTCAGGCCGTCCCAGTGCGTCACTCGCCACTTTTGCTCTTTCGCCTATTCGCTGTGGTAGGATGAAGTACATTTTTGCCGATAGCGACAGTCAGTCAGCATTGAGAACATACAATGTCACATGCAGCACAAGCAGACACACAGCCAAATAAAATAAAATAAAATAAACAGAAACACACAGCTTGGTAAAATGAAAACAATATGGGACAATATCATTGCGGTCTGTGGGACCGAAATGTATACAACACAGCCAGCTTTCTTTTCTGGCTGGGGACGACCTAAAATATGAGCAGACTTGGAGAATGGGAACTGAGATTTAGCAGACAACACAACCACAGGTCACCAGATTGACTGTTTTGTTATATATAGATCTATTCACCTAGACTTGCCCTAAAAACTCATCTTTTGTCATTTTTCTCCCATTGTCTTTTGCCCGACGGCCTTTCGGACATTTCGGTCTCTCAAGATTTGCTGTAAACTTAGATGGAAAAGAAGGGAAAGAAAGGTCAGATGATAAGGAATGGAAAGAGGCAAATAAAGAGTTCAAAGACGTCGAGACAACCCGGCCATCATCCGTGATGAGCTCCCTCAGCTACAGGAAGCGTTCCAACCTCGGTTCTAAGGGGGACCAGCTCTTCAGTGTCCTAAAGGCAAATGCGGAATTGGAGGATGATCTGTCTTTCCAAAAGTCTAGATCCAAAAGCACTGATCTTCAAGATGATACCTATTCAACTAGCTCCAGGAAGAAATCATTGGCCGTGGATGACATGGCCGACAGAGAATCAGTTATCTCCCAGCCTTACTCCGATGCCAGCAGCCGGGCCAGGAAAGGCATGGACAGCCGTTGGGGTGACATCGACAAAGAATCCACTCTTTCATTCATTCCACCAAGGCGGTCCTCGACTTGCCTTGGGTTAAGCCCAGAGAATGATGATACGAAGTCTACCCGCAGCTTGGGTTTCTCGAACCCACTCGGACGTCATCAAAGCACGTCACGCTTAGATGAGCGTGGTGGGAGGCGATCACAATACGGCAGTGACCCCAGCAGCCCTTGTTTAAGCAAACGGTCCGGCGGTCGCAGTCCTGGTAGTGTCAGTCAAGCTGATTCCCATCTGTCACTCGCACGTAGCTGCCGTCTGAGTGAGTTTGATCTTGATATGGATGATAGCAGAAGCGTGGCCTTCACTGATAGGTCATCTTACTGCCATTCTTCCGCTGGACGCAGCATTTCCATGCCGCCGCCACAAGCTCGGTCAGCTGGAGATCACGATCTCATCGATAACGTGGATATCAAACCTGTCAGCCATCGTAACTACCTTGACCCGGACCTGGAAAAAGCCATCAATGAAGTCTTGAGCTTCAAACCCATTAAATTCAAGCGCAGTAGCTTGGAGGACTCTGAAGGGGAGGAAGGTACATCTAAAGATAATGCAGATGATAAATTAACTGCTCAGAAGAGCACCGGAACTCGCTCCTGCACTAATCTTCAACGCTCTGCATCAGCTGTGAGCTGCATAAGACCGTCTCGCAGCACCAGCAGCTGTAGTGGTCGCCGTAGCAAGAGCAAGGGCAAAGGTAAGAAGAAGCGAAGCCATAGTTCAGAGTCTGAAAGTTCCAGTGACAAGCGTAGTCACAGGAGCAGCTCTCGAAGGTCCAAAAAGTCCAATAAAAAGTCCAGGAAGAGGGAAAAATCGCCTTCGTCTTCATCATCATCATCGTCGTCGTCATCAGATTCTGAATCAGACTCCGGGTCAAGCTCGAGCGCCTCCACCATCTCCTACCGCAGCTCTAGCAGTGTGAAGAGAGCCCCATCGCAGAAGGTTGTTGTCAACCCAGAAGAGGAAATGGAGGATGGGCCCCAAAGTGAGTGCCGCCCCCTCAGCAAAAAGAATGACAAGAAGAGGAGGAAGAAGGTGGACAGCCTGATGATGAAGTACTTGTATCGACCGGATAGCGATTGAAGCAGGCAGTAGGTGCTTGCCTGGCATCCATTAAAAAAAATAAATTAATAATAATTCACAGCATGGTGTGATGCAAAATGGTACACATATGAAGCAGTGCATTGCACTTTGCACTTCTAGTTTGAGTTGAGAGTCACAATTAGCATGTTGGCACGGTGTATTTTTCCAAATCTGCCACTCAGGTGGTATTTGTCTGAGTGCAAGTTCTTACCCATTTCACCGAGCATTTAATTACTCCAGCAAAAAGAGTAGAAACGACAAAATAAAATCGGTTTCACACCCCCAGCAGTACAATCAGAGGTACCGAACTAATCATGCATTCTAAAGTGAGATCATTTGAATGCCCAACTGACCCAAAAAAAAACCTAACCCCCAGTTTGGAGTGTCTTTGCTGTTTTATATAAAAAGTTATACTTGAGCTGTATAATACCATATTTTCCGCACTATAAGGCGCACCTAAAAGCATTTAATTTTCTCAAAAGCCAACAGTACGCCTGATATCCGATGCACCTTATATATTATAACATTCTGATTTATTGGACATAGTATGTTAAATCTTCTCGAAAGCGCTTTGTTGCAGCTGCAGCGGTTGTGAAAGCTCGATATAAATAAAGCTGTATTGTATTCCATTTAGCGTAGCTCCATCTCGTGAATGCATAACGCAACTGCAGCCAGGGCTCTATATAAATAAAGCTGCATTATATTGTACTGTACTGTATTCCCTTTAGCGTAGCACCATCTAGTGGATGCATAGTGCAACCGCAGCCACTATTGTAGCTTCTATTCATTCTATGCGCCCGATATATGAAAACTGTTTAAAAATAGGTCATTCATTGAAGGTTCGCCTTATACTCCAAAGCGCCTTATAGTGCGGAAAGTACGTGAATCCTAACCACAGCCGTATTATAAGTCATGGTGGTGTTTCCAGGTTTAATAATACATCGCATGGTTTTGTGGTGTCTTTGGAGCGCCTGTTTGAAACCTGACGGCCGAGACGATATGGTGGAGGATTCAGTTTCTCCGGTGTGGTTGGGAATACTCAATCAATGGTCCGCTTTTCACACCACCTCTCAAACAAATTGGCTCATCAGAGGTGTAACTGTAAGCGCCTGCATTTAGTCACCTCTCTATTAAGGCTTTGCACATTCATAATTATGCGTGGCGATGAAAAATCGAGGCTGTGGAATCGCGATGACTGCATTGAGTTGAATGTTCTGTACCTTCCTGGATATGCTTGTGAATAATCTCATTCGTCTGGGTCATTTCGTTCTCGGGGGATTGACTCGATCGCGACTGGACTGTTCTGGTTGTCTTGAAAGACATTTTGCCTCTCATCCTAGCAGGCTTCATTCGTTGTTGCAAGCGCGCCAGCCTGCTCTGATGAGAGGCGCAAAATCTTCTAAGACAGCTGGAACTGCCCATTTGCGATCGATTCAATGCCCTGAGAATTCTCGTGGATACACCCTGATTTTGGAAACTTAAAAAAAAAAACAGAGTCAGAGGATTCTTAACTGTCTTTTAAATCCAGCACAGTATATTGCTTGTCATATGGCTTTCACTAACAATCCCTTCTTCTCAAATTCTTCTCCAGCCCCCCCGGCAGGAGACGCTACGGCTTCAGATCCGACGAAGAGGAGGAAGACGAAAAAGACGACACTGCCCAGGGATCTCTGTACACTTCTTGATCCAGATATAGCAATCAACTAAAGAATGTTGGTGACGTTGAGCCTTTCGAGCCGGGATCTTAGTTTGTGCCGCGTTCAGCACCACTTTCCGAAACGCAGCTTCAGCCACTTATTGTCTTGCATGCGAAGATGACCTCATTGGCGGTTGTTCATGGACACTGACAGTTGATCAATTCAGTGAAATTCACTTTTGCTGTCAGTCAAAGCTCACGGTCCTCACAGTTGAGCTTAATCACCACCAAACTGGTTGCTTGGCATTGCCATAAAAAGTCCCATCTCGGATGTAACTGAGCCAAAGAGTTTAGGATTGCCCCTGAGATGAGATTGTTTCCTTACAAAAAAAAAATCTTTGTGTATTTTCTTTGCATATTGTAGACTAGTAATTTGTTTTGCCATCGCACCATGTACTGCCAAAAAGCTTTTTATTCCATGTAGACAGTTCTGTTGCCAATTGAAACGGAATCCTGGAAAAAGCCTGACAAATACTTCTTTAGTCTTTTCTGGGACAAGTGCTCTCTTTTCTGCTATGTATGCAGTTGGGCGGCGTTGTGGGCTGTTGCGCCGCGCCCTGAAGACGCTCTCGTCGTCACACTTTGGAACCCTTTTGCTGGCTAACGATCCGGTTTTTACAAGTGAAACGAATTGCATCGGGAACTCTCAAGGAAAGTCGGGAGGCTGTCAAATTCATTCTCTTTTGGGGTTTTGTTTTTGGAGAAGCACACAAGCAAGATCATATCCTGCGCATGCTTTTGTTTTTTTGAACTCACAGGGTTATTTCAGGTACTTGGAATATCCCATGCTAGCTTTATCACTTATTTTATTTTCGATGAGATGTGCTTTTCCTGACCAAAAGGAATTTACCGCGAGTTGATATTCGTCACTATTCCTATTTGTTTCTTATCGTCCCCTCAATATTATATTCTTATAATTATTAAATATAAAGCAAATGTCCATTCACCACAACCTCTTCAAATTGCCAGCATTTTTAGTGATGAACGACCAAAGCCGATAATGAGGATAAAATAAATAATCAATACACGGACGGGTTCATGGTTCTCACAATTTTGACTTAGACAATTCTTTTGAAACAGTCGTCAGCCTTCCAGGGTGGCCGTTTTGACATTTTCTTCAAGGCAGGGGCATTTGATTCAATGCCAGAGCTGTTCCAAGAGAGCCAGCATGTACTCCTTGTAATGCCAAAACTTGCGTTTTCTGACGACTTTTGTGCCTGTCTTATGACGCAACTGCTTACAATTTTGGCAATAGTACAAGTCGGAAAGTATGTTAGGTCCTATAAAGAGGCCGTGCCTACACAGCTTCGGTTGAAGCGGGCGAAAGGTCGCGAGACCTGTCTGTTTTGATTAAAGCATTCACACCCACATATAGTCATGAGCGTGGAAGTTGCCCAAAGACCCACCGGGATCAATTAGTGCGTTGATGTCTTAACAATCCTGGGACATTTTACCATGCCGCGCCAATCAAATTTCGGAACCACGCAAGTGAAATATTTGACGCGGCAACTGTCACTGATGATGGGGAATTCATTCAGTTAAAAAATAACCGCCGGATTTCTTGTTGTTCAATTGCACAAGTTAAAACGTTGGCGTTTGTGTTATTGTGTTCTTCTTGTAGATGTGTCAGGGCGACATCTCATTAAATTATGGTCAGCGATGACTATACTTCTGTACTATACACCGACTCTTGTGTTTTGCTCGGTAGACACATTTTGAGAAGTTACAAAATTGTTGCCGAACTTGATATTAGATCATTGTAATGAGGGCAATTCCAATGAATTCATTGAGTGCAACGCGGTCGTGGGATTTGCTCACAATATAGGAAACAATGTCGAGCCTTACCAATGTTATGGTTCGGTGTCCTTAGTATGTCAATTCACTTTAATCCTCTGCTAAGTGTGTTTTTAGGTTTGTCTGGCAAGTTGTTTCCAATTTTTGCTAAACAGGAAGCAACACTGGAAGCAGCATCATGTCGCATTCATGTGTAGGATTCCCTTGTTGGTGATTTCTCTGAAATGTGCACAGCAGCAGCAGTCCACATAAAACCTCAAATGACATTTGGGGCTTGAAAAAACAAAAAAAAAACAGCGCAAAGGAAGTTGAGGTTGTCGAAATCCTTTTTTGTTAGCTGATGCCCTTGTTTTTTTTCTTTCTGCAGACAACACGCATTGAAATGTTATCGACTCAGATACAAGTATCTGGCTGCATCAGAACTTTACGGAATGCACACACTATTTATAAATACAGTCCATGTGTATGATTTATGTTAGCTTTGAAAATAGTTTATTTTCATTATTGAACAAATTGACCTCTGATAACATTTTGCCTTACAGTTTAATATATTGTAAATAAACGATGGTGATTGTTTTACAATGACTTCAGACTAATTTGTAATTGCATCTTCATGACATTTCTATTCGTCCATGAACATGGTATTCAGACTTTCTTTTGTTCTTTGCATTGCAGGGCGTATCCAGATAAGACAAAGACTTGAACAAAAGAAAGCAAATACAAATACAGTGCAAGTGCCGACATTATTTGCCAGATAAATATCACAGCTAAAACGCTTTCATCGCCGACTCCCATTGCTTTTTGGTCCCTAAAATAATATATTTTTGGTTTGGTTCGGTCTTATATCCATATATTTTGAGGGCTTTCTCTGATGCGATATTATGAAGATGTGGCATATATTGCATCCAAACTTCAAGTGTAGTATGTTTAACATTCCTGCAACTTAAAACGGCTTCTGAAACTGTAAAACAAGTCCTTAAACCAATTTGAGAGGGAACGGCCACATGTTCACATTGCTCCACCCAGAGTGCAGCGGGCTGGTTGTTTATTTGAGCCCCGTGCGCAACTACTAGATAAACGTTCACAATTTCGATCCATCCATGCATTTTCCGAACTGCTTTATCCTCACAAGGGTTGCGGGGCGCGTCGGAGCCTATCCCAGCCGTCTTAGGGCAGTAGGCGGGCGGACACCCTGAACCAGTTGCCAGCCAAACGCAGGGCACACAGAGACAAACAACCATCTGCACTCACACTCACACTGAGTCCAATCAGCCTACCATGCGTGTTTTTGGAATGAGGGAGGAAACCGGAGTACCCGGAGAAAACCCACACAAGCACAGAGAGAACATGCAAACTCAACACAGAAAGGCCGAAGCCGGAATCAAACCCTGCACCTCTGCACTTTGAGGCCGACGCGCTAACGGTTAGCGCGTCGGCCTCAAAGTGCAGAGGCTAGCCTGGTTAGCGGCTAACCAGTCGCCCACCGGGCCGCCCCTCTTATTACCATTTCACTCTATTTCTCTAACAACCATTCAAGTTAGACTGACATGAGGGCAAAAGACAGAGTAACTCCTCCAGGAAATATTGTCAAAACCCAAAGTGCTGAAAGATCAGCTAGGGATGTCGAAGGGCTCACAGCGAAAAATCCATGCTGCTAATGTAATGATGCCACACTGTGTTTTTACAAGCCAAGATCAGTTCCTTTTGCAATGAAAATAAAAGTGGAACAGGTGAGAGAGAGAGGGGGAGAGACTATCACAGGAGAAAATCATTGCGCCACTTCAAGTTTTCAGAATGGGCAGTACCCGTTCTCAAACCAGACTCTTTGTGGAGACTACGAGCTAACAGTTAGCAAATGCTCAGCCATGGAACAGCAGCCCATCCCCAGAATGGAGGACAGAAGTACCGAAAGTAAGACATGAGCGATGCACATCAATAGATTGTGCTGGATGAAGAATCAAACTGCAGTGACTGGAAAGTGCAGAACTTTGTTTAAAAAAGGCGCAAGGGCCAATTCATGGGAAAAGAGGTCGTTTTACAAAGTGGACAAGACCACTGCTGCGTCCACTGCCAGGAAAGATGATGGCAGTACAGGAGCCACCCACACTTTTAAAGCGTATTTGGGAGTATTTAAAGCGTATTTGGGAGTATTGATCTTGCAATGAGTTCTTCTATACTTGTCCACATTACCAGTATCTATGCACAAACTATTAAGAAAAAAGGAATTGTGGTCTAGGGGACTGGAGATGGATGGTCATATGGCGTTGACAGTCAAGCCGTGTGTAAATTTAAAATCATGCACCCCACGTGCCAAGAACATGAGAAAGGCACCTACTTATACTCCACTCTACCCCTTAGAATTGCCAGAAGACTTCACCAGCGACCCTCGTGAGGATAAACTGATCTGATAATGGATGGATGAATGATATTACAAACTACATTTTTTAACAGTTGGTTACTAGTGACTGTATTTGAATACATTTTAAAAGTAACCCTCCCAAACCTGTTGTTAATATCTAGGGGGGAAACCCAGGGTTCTAATCGCTCAGTCTGAGAAAATGAGTCATTTGGAGAAGTTTCATCGAAAACAGTGAATAGGGGAAAGCTGGAGAGAAGATGTAGAAAAAGCTGAATGTCACTAACTCCATGAAAATGTCTTTCAAAGTTGTTTTTTAAACCTGAAGCGTTTCATTCTTAAAAGGTAGGCCACTGTACCTGTGATACAGCTCGGTACCAGTAGACGGTGCTAGTGCTATGGCTATAAATACATGAATTGTCCAAGAGTCCAGGCAGACCAAGTACAAGCGAACTGCCAGGGGAGACCTGTCGTAATTGTCAAGTCACCTGCATGAAGGCCAACTCAAGAGAAGCTGACACGCATGCAGATATTTATGAATAGCTCACCTTATTACATTTGGCACCGAGGATAAAAGCCGTGAATACAAGACTGGATAAGCGGTTCAGATCTTGGATGGATGAATAAGAAAACGTATAACGGACACATAAAAACTAAGTTACAGGGTGGAACTCTCTCACCGTCCGTGTCTAAACAATCCGCCCAATAATTAAAACCAATTAAATGCTTAAGCGCAAGTAAAATATATATCGAGAGAGAAACAGAGCGAGAGTGTGTCATGTGTCTGTGAGATGATTTTAGAATCAGGGCTTCATAACATCAAATAAATTAAATATATACATTTTCTTCTTCTTCTTCTTCTCCTTTCGGCACGTCCCTATTCAGGGGTCGCCACAGCGAGTCAGTAATTTCCATCCGCCCCTGTAAACCGTCCTACCAACTCGCATGGTCGTCTTGGCAAAAGTTTTACGCCGGATGCCATTCCTGACGCAACCCTCCCCATTTCTCCGGGCTTGGGACCGGCACTGGGGAACAGTGCACCCCCAGGGGAGGGCACTGCCCCCCAGCGGCTGGGTTTAAATATATACATTTTAAATTTAAAAAAAATGAACACAACCTTACATTAAATTTTATTTTTTTAATGGTTGTAATTTCTGTCACATTGTTCAACGGTGTGGAATTGATTGATTAAAAACGTTGGAAACAAATGTGTCAGTTAAGGTCGAAATATAGGCTCATCTATTTTGTTTTATCAACATCCCCTTCCGACCCAAAAAAGAAAAAAAAAATCAATCACTCAATCATATCTGATTCCAGAGGAGGTAGTGCCTCACCGGTCATTAACCCCACCGCACTTGTCACGGTAAATGGGGCTGAAAAATTATTTGAGAATCCCTCACCCAGTCCTTTTATCTCTAATGCTTGCTTTATTGTATTAACAGTACCTCCCCAGTAGACTGCATATTCTTACTTGAACTATTTAACAAATGATGGGAAAATTGAGACACAGCCGTTGAGCCTTTTCTACAAGACACCAAAGACGGTTTCATCTGTCCAAAACAGTTCCTGTTGTTTCTAATCAGCTTGGGGCCCCGCCCACGAAGGAGAGCAGCTCTGCCTGAACCACTGTGACCATGTGTGATTGGACAGTTTTAACTGGTTCCAACTAGATATGTGTGCAAGTGTGCAGCTCGAGATAGGAAGATGCTGAGCCCAGAGGACAAGGTCACAACTACACAACTGACTAACTCAAGTCACCTAGCTATTATTTGAATCCAAGCCAAATCTAACAGTTCATATTGATTTGATTGCTTCTTACCGTTTTGCTCAAAACAGTCCTTTCTGTCACAACATTTCAAATGTCTGGATCTACAGTACCGGAAAGTGCTATGTACAGTAAATAAGTGGTTCATTTACATGTGTGCAGTTGCGCGTAGTTTTACATGATCAACATTTTTTTAGGATTTGTAGCAACAACTCCATGTTGAATTTTGGTGAAAATGGACACATCTGAGCATATTAAAGAAAAAAAAAAGTAAAATGCATTCTTGTTCTAACTACAATTATTCCTATTATTATTTAGACCAAAGCCCTTCTTTTAGACTTGTGCTTATCAATTGGAGGTTCTTCAATGAAAATTGCCGTACAAGGAATGATAACAATAAGCATCATCATAATCAATATTGCAAATGAAACTTGAAATCACAAGACACCGATGAAGGCACTTTTCTATAAAGATGACTTGAGGTTGGTCTGGAAGCGGCTGATTCGGAAAGGTGTCAGGTCATAGGAGGGCACTTCTCCCAGGCTAAGCTCGCAGAGCAGCTTGCCAATGACGGGGCCAAACTTGAAGCCGTGACCTAGAGAAGGAAAGTCACACTGGAATGAGCAGAACAGATCAGTATCGATCATCGACACTATTAGGTGCAGTCAAATGTGATCCCGCAGCAAGAGCCGTACCAAATATTTTCCCAAAAAGACAATTCAATCCATTGTTGACACTTGACAGAGGTGCAGTAGGACATTCTATGACAGTATAATATTTAGGTGACCTCATTTAACGATTAAAGAAGGGCAAACCTTCTATTTGGATGGCTTTAGATTGTCCCCCCAAAACATTGACAATGCTGTCCAAAAACTAGTGTTCCATTCACATCCTTTGGAAATGGTTGTCATTTGACAAAGTGGTTGGATGCTTTTTTTTATTGAGAGAAGAATTTTGTTAAGTTTTCAGTTTGAATATATATTTTTTTGCCAATTAATTTACTTATTCAGATTAATAACTTGAGATCCCATATTTAATAAGAACATGTTGATTTTGCAAACAAAAATAAATATAAACTATATATATAGCTTACTTTTTTCTTATCAATAATTTTCACGATCCAGTGCCCCTTTTAAATTTCTTTTTAAAGCTGGCTCCCAACATATCTGTGCATGTTCTGGTGTGAGTTATAGAAAAAAAAAAAAACATTATGAAATGTATAGGTGGTTATTTGTTTGTCTGTTCCAATCAAGAAACCTGGACTGAATACCAAATGAAGTCATTTTTCGTTTTCCTTGAAGTCCCAAGCCAGACGCTCAGTGTTGCTCAGGCCTCAGAGGAAATTGGAAAATCGGCAGAGCAATGCAATAGAATGCCATTTGCCAAAGGTCTCCTCCGAGGCTGCTGTGGATACACTTGGCTCTGGAGTCCAAACAGCACTGCCGAGATAGTCCCCCCCCCCCCCCCCCCGCCGGCCCCTTTATGCATCTTCATCTCATCAGAAATAAGAATGTACAGCACACCTCACAATGGACGGCAGGCTGACAACTAGATCTAGTCTTAACTTCTCTGCCTCACGCACCAGCTCTGGCTCCTTCGCTGCCTGAGAGGGGACAATCCATGTCCCTCGAGCTAGTTTCAGTCACCAGGGATCGGATTACCAAGGTCCCTGCCGATCCCCTTGACCCCTCCCACAGGTGGTGAGCCCATGGGAAGAGGGACCCACGTTGCCTTTTTGGGATGTACCTGGCCGTGCCCCATGGCTATGAGCACAGCCACCAGATGATCACCAGTGAGCCCCACCTCCAGGCCTGGCTCCAGACAGGGGCCCCGGTGACCCACGTCCAGGCAAAGGAAACCGAGGTCCATATATGTGACTCATTATAAGGGGTCTGTGACCCGTGTTGTGTCTGGTCCCTCGCCAAGGACCCGTTTGCCATCGGTGACCCTGCCAGGGCCAGAAAAGCCTAGACAACTTCACTTCTTCCTCAAAGAGACAAGCAAATCCCTCCAACAAGGTCAGGTGACAGGTCACGGATTTTACCATGCATTGTAATTTTGTTATGTTTTTGTTAAAGGTTACATTCGGTTTTGTTCCCTCCCTTTGTCTCTTGTTCAGGTGTTTCTTGTTGTAATGTCACTTTGCTTGTATTTTGTTCCCTGGGTTCTGTCAGTCTTGGTCGGATCATAGTGTGTTCCTGTCATGTTTTGTTTCCGTCAGTTTTTTTTGTTTGTTTGTTACTTTGCCTTCATTATTTTTTTTTTCAGAACTGTGTGTATTTGGGTGAGTTGTTCCAGTGTACTCCTGCAAGTATTTTTGGTGAACATATTTTGTTCAGTCCACCCTGCTCCTCTTGCCTCCCTGCCTTTTGCATCCTCTATCATCACGCAAAACCTGACAAATTTATAGCTATGACGTTTCAGAAAAAAATGTCACCTGTTGCTGAACCTACCTGTCTTATAATTCTTCAATATTACTAAATATACTGTGATACTATGTACAGATTATATTATGATGAAAACCTGATGTGCTCGAATTAAAAAAAAAGGCAAACAAGGAAATCAGCGCAAAAAATAATTTTGAAACGTTTAGATTAAAAATGTAAAAAAAAAAAAAAAATCATTCACCCCCCCTTGTAGAATTTTGCCACTTGTGTGATTGCACATTGCTGTTGCCATTGTTAGTTTGCCTACGCTAACATCCTCGTCGCATCTGGTCGGTCGGTCTGAGTGGTATGCTGCTCCCTCCTCCCACCACAGCCCACTCGAGTGAAAGACAGACACAAAAGTGTAAATGTTTGACCGTGAGTTGAAAAATAACGATTTTGGAATTTGAAATCCAAGTGTTGAATCTCAGGTGGTGGTGATGTGGCGGGACTCCTGTGATTAGACTGCATGACAAAAAGACCAATACAGGTGTCAAAATAAAGCATATACAAAAACAAAACAGGGCGAAGGTTCCATTAAGCTCTGAGGCATTGTTGTTGTTTGATTTTATGTTGTGCGTTGCTGTGTTGTACCTGAGAATCCTGCGCCAATAACAATATTGCCATATGCAGGGTGGCGGTCCAGCACAAAATGACGGTCGGGTGTTAGCTGGGAAGGTCAAATATTAAAAGTTAGCAATATTACATCCATTTCAGCATGATGTCCCTGATCCACTGGTGAAAGGACACTTTGATTCTCTCCTCTTTCATCGACAACTGCTTCAAACAACAAAGAGTATGCAGAAAGGTGGTTAAGACTGAATGACTGTCTGTATCTGATGTGTTGTGTTGTATTATTTTTTATGTTATTATGACTTCAAGATGGCGCCGCGAGAGTGGCTGCCTTTAGAGCAGCTGCTATACTTTTTTTTCTTCTACTTTCTTCCTTTCATAACTTTGCTGCTGTAAATTGGGAATTTCACCATTGTGAGACGAATAAAGCTTTTATTATATTATTCCATTACAGAGAGGATACTGTAGAGATTAATTTGCTTTCAGGATTCACCCAAAAAACACGAATCACAGTTTCTGCAAGTATTTATCAGTAATTCAGTCGAATGTGAATACAGTGTTAACTTGAAAGTCAATTAACTCTGTGCGCTCTTAAATTTTCCTCCAGTGCTCATATTATTGGAAGTTACGGTCTACTGTGCACTCAGTAAAGCTGGGCAACGTGTAGATATATATCGTGACGACAATACAACTGGGTCGGTCGTGTCATTTTTCTACTATGAAGGTTATCGTCATTTGTCATCCGGAGCAAACTTCATATTATAAAAGCTTGATTCAACGGACAAAAGCTTTCACTGCGCAATCTCATGCCACACAGTTGCCACCACGTGGTAGACTGAATAACAATGTGAGGAAGGCAATTAATAGTATCTCAACTCAACTCAACTGTGTTGAAAGAGCACTTTCAAACAGCCATCGCTGCATACAAAGTGTTGTACATGGAGCAACTAACATATATACAACAATAAATCAGTAACAAAGATGGTAGAAGGCACCAAACGGTAAAACTAAGATCAAATCTGAGTCATGCTAAGTCAAATACCAAAGAATACGAGTGAGTTTTGAGGCGGGTTTTAAAGATGGGCAGGGAGGGGGCTTGCCGAAAGTTCAGTGGGAGGTCATTCCAGAGAGAGGGACCAGCAACGGAAAAGGCTCGAAACCCTCTGAGCCGCCATTTAGTTCTTGGTACTTCTAATAATGTCTGTTCCGCAGACCTGAGGCGCCGGGCAGGTGTGTAGGGGCGGATGAGCTCAGAGAGGTAAGGTGGCGCGAGGTCATTTAAAGATTTGAAAACAAATAATAGGATCTTGAAAAGAACTCTAAAATGTATAGGGAGCCAGTGAAGGGATGCCAGAGTAGGAGTTATGTGCTCCCTCTTACGAATACCAGTCAAGAGGCAAGCAGCAGCATTCTGGACCAGTTGGAGACGCTTATTAATGGAGGATTGGCTGACTCCAAAGTAAAGTGCATTGCAGTAATCGAGCCGGGATGTGACGAGGGCATGAATTACTGTCTCAAGGTGCTCATGAGAAAGGAGGGGTTTTACTTTAGCCAGCTGTCTAAGATGAAAGAAGCTGGATTTAACAATGGCACCAATTTGCCAGTCAACTTTAAAATCACTGTCCAGTTTAAGACCCAAATTTGAGACTGTTGACTTAAGATAAGGTGACAGGGGGCCCAAGTCTACAGGATGGGATGTACAAGGATCACTGGCACCAAACACGGTATCACCTCTGTCTTCTTTTCATTGAAATTCGAGAAATTTTGTGCCATCCAGGTTTTGATTTCTTCCAGGCAGGATAAAAGTGGCCTTAATGAGAAAGTGTCTTTTTTGCTCAGTGGGACATAGATCTGACAGTCATCTGCATAGCAGTGGAAGGAAATACCATGTTTCCTTAAGATGGAACCCGATGGGAGCAGGTACAGTGAGAACAGCAGCGGCCCCAGAATTGAGCCCTGTGGAATGCCACATAACAGAGGAGCAGTACATGACTCAGAGCAGCCAAGGCTGACACAAAAGGTTCTGTCAGCTAAATAGGACCTAAACCAATCAAGAGCGCTTCCGCCAATGCCCACCAAGTGCTGCAAACGAGTCAACAGAAGACTGTGATCAACTGTATCAAATGCTGCAGTTAAATCCAATAAAACCAGACATATGTAGTCTCCAGTGTCATTTGCCAGGAGGATGTCATTAGAAACGTGTAACAGGGCTGACTCTGTGCTATGCATCATCTTGAAACCTGACTGGAAGACCTCCAAGATGTTATGTTCATTCAAGAAAGATTTCAACTGCATGTGCACCAATTTTTCCAGAATATTTGTAATGAAAGGCAGTTTGGAAATGGGCCTAAAATTTGACAGCAAATCTTGATCAAGACCAGGTTTCTTGATCAGAGGGTTGGACCACAGCATGTTTAAACTGTTGGGGAACTGTAGCAGAAGAGAGACTGCTGTTGATAATGGCCAAGTCCGATGTACCAATATTCGGGAGAACCTCCTTAAAGAAATGCGGAGGAAGAGAGTCGCAGGGGGAGTCATCCTACATGACAAACGTATGGTAAGAGTCAATAAAAATTAATAAATGAAGAAGTGGGTGAATGCAAATAAAGAATACCACTAATTTAGGAGAGCAAAAATAAACCACGCAAAAAAAAAAAAAAAAATGTGATTAACTACTTAAAAAAAAGGTCCTGAAGGCAAGATGTGTACGCCTTCAAACTACAACAGCAAAGCAGTTTGCATTTTGAGCCTCGGCAAAACACAAAGAATAGCAAAACTGAGAATCGAAGATTTTTACGTTTGTCCTCTAAATCAACGGCAGTGACTGTCTCCCAAAAATATTCATTGAGCTGCTTATGTCACCTGTAGCCCGGAAGTTGTCAAGTTGAGGCGAGACGACGTCACAGCGAGCTAGAGCTAGCAATAGCAAGTTTAGCAAGAAGGTTTAACCACTGCCTGCGAAACCGTTGCAGGTTCGCTCCTAACTCAGGAATCCTCACACAGAGATTACGAGGAGTAATTATCAGAGGGAAGGACCCAGAAGCCATGCTACTTGCTAAGCTAACGTTATGTTATCAATCGTGCAAGATCGAATTAAGTATTTGCGTGAAAGAGTACCCTTCACAAAGGTTTCGCTGGACCCCGTTAAAGCGGAGCCTATCCGACCTTGAACAGCAAACCAGCAGGCAATTTATTAAGTGTCTGAAAGAAAATTAATACAAAATAATGCTACATATACAGCTAAACAGGAAATGGTCCCACGCCGCGTACATCAGCTAGGAGCAGTGGCTTAGAATATTAAAAGTATATTAATTATGAGGATAAGTGATTCAGAAAAGAGATATACAGCAGGGGTCCCCAACCTTTTTTGCCCCACGGACCGGTTTATGTCAGACAATATTTTCAGGGACCGGCATTTAAGGTGTGGCGGAAATAATGCAACAAAATAATATGGTATGAGCTGCATGAAAACTGGTGTTTTCGAAATATAATAATAAACACAAGGAGCGTCTAATCTGGCCGCAACACTCCAATCGCTATGGCAATGTTTAATGCCTTCAAAATACGATACAACGCAAATTCAAAGTGCATGAAAATGACGACTCACCACAGCACCGAGCTTGATTTTCTGCAACCAGACGGTCCCATCTCGGGGTAATAGGAGAGACAATGACACCGCAAGTGTGTGGTTTATGTCCAGTCTACTTCGTAATTTTGTTTTCGTCGCCGTTGCTGCATAATCCCCCCGCCTCACACAGGTAGGATGTCGGAAATAGCAAAAGTGCTATTGTGGCGATCTCAGAGTATTCAGACATAACTTTAATCCAGTTGTCTCGAACGTACTTTTAAGGCCGCCGTCATTTGCGATCTCCAGCAGTTTTTTTACTCATTTTGCGAGCTCCGGTGTTTGTTTTTAGCCTAATTGGTCGCGTTACAGAGAAGCGTGGCTTGACGTGTGTCAAGCTGGACACAGACGGATGTAACGGAGAATCCGGTTAGTTTTCAAAATAAAACATCTTTCGTATTCCGAAATAAATAAAACGGAATTAAGGCAAGTTCTTTCTGTGCGGCCCGGTACCAAATGCCCGGCGGACCGGTACCGGTCCGCGGACCGGCGGTTGGGGACCCCTGATATACAGTATACTGTGTAGTAAAGTGAATGCAGATAATATTACAAATGTAATTTGTTTTCAAAATGATTTGATTGTGACTTTTGAGCTCTTCAAAATAAAAATTCTTAAATGTATGCTCTTTTTGGCAACACTATAAAGCACCATACTATGTGTAAAATGTTTCCCAAATAGCATTAGTTGCAGCCTGGTCATCCTGTAATGGGGATTCCTACACCTGCTGTTCCTTCTCAAGGTTTTCTCCTTTTTTTTCTCCCCAAATTGGTTTTTGAGTTTTTCCTTGTCAAATGTGAGCTTCTGATGACTTTTGAAACAATTCTTTTTTGATTAAAGGCTATACAGATTGACTCGAGGTTCACATTGGAAATTTATTGAGGGTTTGTCAGCGACACTTTAAATGTGGTAAGTGTGTCCTGACCCTTGTTTGACATCCGTTTCTACCATATATGATTGGTTGATTTTGACCACAGCCACATCCATCGCCAGTTACAAGAGGGTCTTCACACTTGTGCAACTACATTATTACAGTTGTGGACTTTTTTCCCAGTTGAGTTGGACAAGTTGTAGGTCACATCAATGGTAGAAAAAGTTTTGAAATTATTGATCACAATAATTTGCCCTTTAAACTGATATGTAGACTTTTGACATTCACTCTACGAGTCAGGATGAGTGTTTTGTTAAACTTTTTGACTTTATTGATTACTTACAGTAAGAATTTAAAAAAATATTGTGACTGACCGTATACATGCAGCTCTCGACCACAGCCGGCTCAGGGATCAGGCCAGGAAAGCTGCGGGTGATGTAGCGCCGGAGGATGTCAATATCAGCCGTGTCTGTCTGCTTGTCTCTTTGGTCCGGGTCAGTCTCGCTGCCGTTATGGTAACAAATCTATACCCACATAAAAACAGTCAATTTGATTATGATTAGAGAAATTTAAGAGCTATACAGAACAGTAATGTACACCCAATGACCACAATAAAGTGGCCACTGACACAATCTGTTCCATTACAGTAGTTAAGAGATGTGTCTTATTACGGTAATGTACGACAGCTAAAGGATTGTTGTCACATGGCCCGACAGATAGATGTGTATGTCTCTCTCTCTCTCTCTCTCTCTCTCCCTCTCTCTCTCTCTCTCTCTCTCTCTCTCTCTCTCTCTTTCCCTCCCCCCTAGTGACAAGAAAAGTAGAGTCTGACGTCTGTAAAACATTTGCGAACTCCAACAAACCCTGATCAGAATGCAACAATCACAAAGACTCGCAAATGTTTGCAGCTCAGTGGGGCTTAAAATTGACATGGATTGGTCAGAAATTGTGACATTTGTTTGTTCGAAAACGATTTACAAAACAGCCTCAACACTGAGATTCAAAGAATTTTTTAAATCACATTCAAAGTATGTTTCTAATAACAGTCTCAGAAGTGAGTTTCAATGCTTTTCATCACAAGAGTAAAGGACCTACTTAAAGAGTAAGAGTTTTTTTTCATATATGAAGTCAAAATATTAATACAGTATATTAAGTGCATGAATGAATACAATGCATGCAGTAGGAAAATATGAACTTAAGTATGCAAGAGTTGTTATACTCGCATATTTCTATTTTTTTTTTTTTTTTTATGATCAAATTTTTTTTAATTGTTTTTACTACCTAACTAGAGCAAGAGAGAAAAAGAGAGAGGTTGCTTTCCAACTGACTTAATATCACTAACCAAAGTGTAAGCATCAAACAGACAGAGGAAAAAAAAAAAGGCAGGATGCAACACAAGCCTGTCAAAGCCACAGCATCTGTTATGAAATAAGTTTACTACCGAACTGGAAATACCGTGTTGGCCCGAATATAAGACGGCCCTGATAATAAGATGACCCCTTCTTTTTCAAGGCTCAAGTTTGAAAAAATACTTTTTGAACACCAAATTAATTTTTATACAGAAAATAATTACAGTACATCTGAAACAAATGATTATAACAATATATTTGAGACAAAAAGCATGTTATTTTGCCCCATTCAAATCTTAATATCTGAACATTTAAATATGTAAACTTAAGTGCAATCACATTCGTAAATGAATGGCTTCTGGTTTATGTAATGTAAATTACATCATAACTTCCCCACAGCTGCCGGTTAACCTGGCCGATCTTCGGCCCACTTTTCTCCAGATTGTCGCTACGTTTCTCCATTTTCTGTTATCTTTTCTATTATTTTCTTCTCTTTTCTTTCTTCCCGCTATTTTTTATTTTTCTTCTTCGTGCTACCGCTATTTTTATTTTTATTCTTCGTGGCAGGGGTTCACTTTGGCCTGGGGAGTCAAGTTCAGCATTCGCTTCAATGATATCTGGCGCCATCTAGCGTCGTGAATGGGTGTAATGTCTAGACCCCGAATATAAGACGATCCCCACTTTTTCAGTCTTATTTCAATGCAAAAAACACCGTCTTATATTCAGGCCAATACGGTAGTACACAAATCAAAATAGAGACGCGCTGAGGAAAACCGGGTACTGACTCGAGCAACGTGAGATGGAGTCAAGCTAAGCAAACAGAGAGGGAGATCATCGGTCACTGTCACTCTATATATAGGTGAAAGATTAGCACACGGCTCCTCTTGCTAGCAGTTCCGTCTCGGGAGGGACCGTCGCTGTGTGTTAGTGGGCCGATCACAGGGTGTATCCTTATCACAACTTTACTTCAAAATAAATGTCTTCTGAATCATTTGAATTGCACTATCCATTAGAAGATAAAATACATAGATTTCTATTATATAATATATATTTCTATCATAGCCATTGCATTAAAAAAATACATATATATTTTGGAATTTTACCAGAGAGTGTTAAGAATAAGCCATTGAATCATTAGAAGTGCACGACAGCTCCTTCTTGACAACTCTGTTCATCGTTGTATTCTGTTTGGCAATGTGTCTACTGAATGTGCACCATTCAGGGATCTGATGAGTGTAATTCAGCGCCTTGGTGATAAAAATGCTGGGTCTACCTGTGTGTGTGTGTGTGTGTGTGTGTGTGTGTGTGTGTGTGTGTGTGAGACACACACACACATACATAAATACGATTGATGCATTGACTATTTGACCGTTTTTATTTTGGGCTCACTAACTGGTAAAACATAACACAGCAGTACTGATACCCATGGTGCATAGTTACTTTTGCATACTGAGAAAGACAGTACCTTCATCAAGCCAGGGTATTCATTGGAAGGCAGGCCATAAATATGGTCTCCAGCCTCCTCTCCTTCAGTCAGCAAGAAGCACGGAAAGCGTTTCTTCACATGGTAGGAGTCAGGAATTTTCTCTTTCCAATAACACACATTTATTTTCACCACCTACAATACAGGATTCAAATCAGTGTGTCCATTGTTTTTGCACTTTTTAGTGGATATCAATGATAATGATGACTGGTATTAATTAAATACATATAGTATTGAGCTCTAAGACCGGGCAATAACTCAAGATTTATCCCAATCGATATTCAACTCAACTCAACTGTATTTATAGAGCACTTTAAAATAGCCATCGCTGTATACAAAGTGCTGTACATGGAGCAACTATCATTTATACAACAATAAAGCTGCTATTTCAGATATTGATTTCTACATAGTAACTTTTGTGAGATTTAAAGAGGAGCTGTAGTCTGATTAGCGAGGGATTAGGTGTTACTAGAATGGTGCACATTTTCGAGTAATGCGTTACGGAGCAACGCATTACCGGCACCAATGCTTCTAAACGCTCTGTCGTAACTCAAATCTGGAGTGAAAATGTTGCTTTTGGTTCGTTAATCACATGAAAATTCGTATTTTTACCGTTAGAGGTAGATGTAGGTCAATATGAGTCAGCAATTTAGTAGTCCAAGGTCCAGCAGTGATCACAAGTCCCTTGGCTTGATAAACACCTGCAGATGTCGACACAGTCACAATCGGGCCAGGCTTGATGTCCGTTACTTTCTCTTGGTCTTTAATTACTCCACCCAACTTCTGAAAGTGCTCCTGGGAAACAAAAGCAAAATAATTCACACTAACTGTGTAGTTTGCGGGTTGTCAGTGTGTTTTTTTTTTTGGCTGGTTGGTTACATTTTTATGGTTCAGCTCCTGGTGAAACAATCCACAATCGGTCGCCTCGCACCTGCATATTTGCAGTTCAGCACCCGTGGATTTGCATATTTTTCTGTTTTTGGGGGAGATACTGTTTCGGAGGCACGCTTAACGCACAGAGGTCCAGGGTTCGATTCCATGCTTCAACCTCTCTGTCTGAGGTTTGCATGTTCTCCCCGTGCCTATGTGGATTTTGCTTTCTCCAGGTACTCCGGTTTCCTCCCACATTCCAAAAACATGCATGTCAGGTTATTGGAAAACTATTAATTGTTCCTACGTGTAACAGTGGATGTGAATGGTCGTTTGTCTATTTGTGCCCAGTGATTGGCTGGCAACCACTTCAGGGTGTAGCCCCACCTACTGCCCGAGGACAGCTGGGATAGGCTCCAGCACCCCCCGCGACCATTGCGAGGTGAAAGAGTTGCTCTCTGCTTTTGGATGTAGAATCAACTTATTTGTGCAACCCTACAAGGACTTCATTTGGGAAGTAAAGATACCAGTCCCAGGACGTCGCACCTGTGACGCGTCAACAGCTGCAATCACAAACCACCGAGCTCTAGAATGACCCCTCTTAACCACTCAAGGAATGCAATTTGTTTATGTTTCCCCGACTCTCTGTAACCTCCCTAAAGAGAATAAAAGCGAGTAGACAGCGCAGTTTCTTCAAAGCTGTCCCAGGATTGTAAACCAAGACACGTCTCAGTGCACTCCCCTTGCAAACTCTGCTTGACTCCTAGTCTCTCGCTTGTGTTTTAAGGTTTGTCATAAGGGTCTGATTGCCTGATAGACCTGACATGAGGTTAAGCGGATCAGATAATGGATGAATTCTGCCCAACCCGCATTTTCCCCGTGTTTTGGGTGGAAAACATGTTCAACTCTTATCAGCACTTTTGTGAGACTTTTTAAAATGTCACCACTCGTGGGTCTGGTCTCTATCCCCTGCGAATACCTGGTGTCGACTGGACTATGAACTAGTTGTAAATGAATTTTGCACTATGTTTGTAAAGTTCTGCTAAAACACAAATGACACAAAAAAAAAATGCTGTGCCATAAAATGATGCGCCCCAGAAAGTAGGCCGGCTGTGGCTCAGTTGGTAGAGCGGCTCTTGTGCGGTGTGCGACAGCTTTGTCAAGAGCTTTATTTACACCACTTCATGGTGTAAATAAAGTGCAATCCATTTACCATTAGCAGTGAGAAATGGTTAATGATTAAAACACAATATGAACTTCGACCGCACGAACTCAGGCATCTTGAATTCGACATTATCTGTTATCGTCTTGCTGTACCTGTGCAACCTTGAGTGCCCGATCTGCATATAACACTCCAGCTGTGGTGTCCACAAAAGCGCCATCGCCATCAGCCAGGATTACATTCGGAATGTGCTGACTGAAGTTGTCAGGGGTCAGGACCACCATAGGAGTCTTGTTCTTCTCCAGGGTGCTCTTAAAGTCAAGGTAGCTTTCACTGTTCTCTGGTCCCATCACCAGAAGTCCTGTTCGTCTAAAGAGGAAGATGCAATGCAGATTGATAAGAGGCTACTTAGGATGTAACATTTCCGAGTGTAAATGAATGTCAAAATACGCAATTGTACTGTGAATACGGTACTTCAATTATACACATTGTCAGAAATCAAACCGAAACCGGGTTTTCATCGTGTCGCTGGCATTCCTGCTTAGCTGATAAAATTACATCCAACTGACAATACCAGTAGAATAGATTGTGAAATCAGTCATTTCTTAAATTTTATTTTAACGTTTATGGTCCCATTGAGGTTAAGAACCTCTTTTCAAAGAGAGAACTGGCCAAAACAGGCAATGTTGAATAAAAAATATTTAAAATCAATGGGAAAAAAAAAAACATCTTTTTCATTACATTTTAAAACTGTACTTCCCCTGTTAATAAAATGTTGAATTTTTCTATAGTTATCTTTGTTTTCAGTACCAATGCTTTAAATCTTGGCAATTTAAAATCAATGTGAAGTTGACTTAAATTAATGCTGACTGGTGGTTGTGTCGGCTGCCAAATGCTACCTTGGTTGACAGTTCAACAGCTTTAAACAAGTCAATCCACTCACCAGATACATCAACTTTCCCGCTCCCCATTCTCCAAGCTTGCTACTTTTTTGTTTTAGTCCCAGCTGGTGAAGGAAGCTGGCTGTGTTTCCACAGACCGCAATGATATTGTCCCACATTGTTTTTATTCCACCGCTGTGTGTTTTTTGAAACTTTTATTTAGCTGTGTATTTGCTTGTGCGGTGTGTGAAGTCAGTACGTTCTCGGCGCTGACTCACTGCCGCCACCGCCGGAGAAGAAGAAAATCTGACGGTTCTAAAATGGCGGTGACGAACTATAATTTAGCGATGATGGGAGCGTGGTTAAAATAACGATGACAGGACACCTGTGACAGACTCACTGATGGTCCTAAAATGTGGGGGCAAACTGTAATTTAGCGATGACATCAGCGTGGTTAAAATCACGATGATGGAGTGACAGACTGACGATGACAGACGTGGTCGGCCTGAAATACAGTGGCAGACTGACAATGATGGACGGGGTGCCTGGCCACTGGCGAATGACTTTTGACGGACTGGCAAAATTTACTGACATGCCCACCTCTGGTCCTGAATACTGAGTTACTAAACCACCTACGAGTCAGCGCTTGCAACCTCCTACCATTCCTCCATCACTCCAGCCCTGGATAACACACACACTAAATCCTCCTTGTTGTGTATATATAAATCAGAAGCTTAGAAGGATAAAATGAAAACACTTCCCTATTCCAAAAGCACTGAAGCGGTCACCTTGTGAATCGGTGATGCTCGAGGTAATAAGAAATTGAATCATTTAAGGCTCCTTGTGGAGTTGTTCTGCAATACGGCGCACCTTGAGAACAACAAAACTGTGCAATCGAAAGCTCTTTCGTTTATCCAGCTGCCAGCTCACCTGTACAGTTTGACACCAGACTCCCTCTCCAACTGAGCCCACAGTTTATAGCCTTCGTCCATCATTTGGGTGTAGAAGTCTTGGTCATAAGCCTTACGGATTATCCGGGTTTGGCCATGGGAGCTCCCTCGAGTGTGAGGTAGAGTAAACTAAAAAGTGTGGGGGCGAGGGGGGGGGTGACAAAAAACAATCAGCTTTTAAGTGAATATGTGTGGGGCATGCACTGTGAGCCTACCAGTTAAGGCCTAATGGATTTTGTTTGGAGTAGTCTTAACAGTTAAAAACATCATTGGGTGGAAGGGCCAATGCGCGGGCTGTCAGGCCCATCATACTATGAAGTGGGGATACAGTGGACAAAAGTACCATATTTCCTCAGGTGGTCAAAATGCTTCATGCTTGCATATTTTCATATATTCTAGGGTAGCACAGAAATTTCTGAGAAACAGAAAATTTAATTCACAAAGCAACCATAAACAAATTATTTGTTGTGTTCACATCTTTGATGAACAACGTGACTCTTGAAATAGATTCATTATTTTAAATGTGCCACCAAGAAGGAATTGGACTAGAAGTATCCATCCATCCATTTTCTGATCCGCTTAATCGTCACAAGGGTCGCGGGGAGTGCTGGAGCCTATCCCAGCTGTCTTCGGGCATGTGGCGGGGGACACCCTGAACCGGTTGCCAGCCAATCGCAGGGCACAGGGAGACGAACAACCATCTGCGCTCACACTCACACTTAGGAACAATTTGGAGTGTTCTATTAGCCTCCCATGCATGTTTTTGGAATGTGGGAGGAAACTGGAGTACCCGGAGAAAACCCACGCAGGCCCGGGGAGAACATGCAAACTCTACACAGGAAGGCCGGAGCTGGAATTGAACCCGGTACCTCTGCACTGTGAGGTTGACGCGCTAACTACTGGACCACCAGGCTGCTGTAACTGTCATTGCCCACGTGAGCAGTAGAACGATGGAGTCCTCAGGAGGAGCGCTCTCCAGCACACCCTCCAAGGATTCCAAGAAGGGTGGATACTCTGAACTGTTGTTTGGTGCATAGGCACAAGCAACATTCAGGACCCGTCTCCCCACTCAAAGGCAGAGGGAGGCTACTCTCTCGTCCACCGAGGTGAACCCCAATATACAGGCACAAAGCCGGGGGCAATCAGTATGTCTACACCTGCACGGCGCCTCTCACCTTGGGCAACTCCAGAATGGAAGTGTGTACAACCCCTCTCAGGTCAGGGATGAGATCCTGCCCCAAGTGAATGAGTTTAAGTATCTTCGGGGTCTTGTTCATGACGTGAGGGTAGAATGGAGCATGAGATCAACGGGAGTATCGGTGCAGCATCTACTGTGATGCAGACTCTGTATCGGTCTGTTGTAGTGAAGAAGGAGCTGAGCCAAAAGGCGAAGCTCTCAATTTACCAGTCAATCTAACGCTCCTACTCTCACCTATGGTCACGAGCTGTGGGTTGTGACCAACAGAACATGATTCGGAATACAAGTGGCCAAAATTAGTTTTCTCCAAAGGTTTGTTGGGGCTCTCTCATGGATAGGGCGAGAAGCTCTGTCATAGGACTCGGGAGTTGAGCCGCTACTCCACATTCAGAGGAACTATATGTGTTGGCGCCAGCATCTAATTTGGATGCCTCCTGGATGCCTTCCCTGGTGGGTTATTCCGTGCATGTCCCACTGGCAGGACACCCTGGGCATGACCCAGGACATGCTGAAAAGACTATACCTGCCGGCTGACATGGCAACACCTGGGCATCCTACAGGAAGAGTTGAATGATGTGGGAAAGAGAAGTCTAAGCTTCCCAGCTGAAGTTGTTGCCTCCGTAACACAACCCCGGATCAGCGGTAGAACATTGATGGATGGATTAATTTATCAATGTAAACACAAAAATGTCATATTTACGAACTACCATTGTATGGATTTTGCCAAAGAACAAGCAGGCCCCCAACCATTAACAGAGTTACTCCAGGAGGCTTGTAGTGACTTCACAATGACAAAAGCCTGTTCTGCTTTTATAATCAGAGATGAAAGTGGACTTTTCTGAAAATTCCGGAATATATATATACACACATATATACACACACACACACACACACACACACACATATATAGAAAGTTACCATGTCGCTGAACGTGTGGCGAAATCAAAAAAGTTGCAGAGCAATTAATACTTGCCACCTGCAAAGCCATTGTAAATGAGATGTTCGGACCCAAAGTGGCTAAAGAAATAGCCTGACTGCCGTAAAAACTAAAAACATAGAAAGAATGAGAGCTGTGGATGCTTTGTGTCTTTCTCAGATTGCTGCCAGGATATCAGATCTGTGTTCATCCAAACCATTTATCACACTGACTGTGGATTGATGTTGATTTGATTCCTATTCAAGGTGTTATAATATAGCTTTATTTTTCAATGTTAAAAAACGCTTATAATAGCAATATAACACTTAATTGTTAAAATAAGCTTTTTTCCACATTTTCAGCAAGTGGTGTGCCGCGGGAATTTTTCAATGAAAGAAATGTACCTTGGCTTGAAAAAAGATTGAAAAACACTGACCTAGAGTGTCGAAAACCTTGTTTGTTTGCGGGATAACCAAGGTTCATATTTTAATTATTTTTTTAAATATCAAGTGAAATTGATGAAGAATTACAATTGACTTTATTTTCTATCTCATCTTGAGAACGCTTCTTGGCCCTGTTCTGAGAGTTTTTATTCTCACTGGGTGAAGAAATAACTTTCTATCATTTTTTAAAAAAAAATCCAAATCACTGGCGTGCACGGCGCTTTATTTTAAAGGTGGCCAACGCCGGCATATTACCGTAATGCACAGTATTCACAAATCACAGTGGCGGCTCACTTGACTACAATTTTGCGAGTGGAGGCCGGCTTGACCGCAGTTCTAAGTACTTCACCTCAAACTTTCATCACATCTGAAATTTTAGATAGGTGCGTAATATGTTGACGGACTCGCACTCAGACTGTAAGAACGACTCTGAAACATCGAACGCTCGGATTACTCTTTGACATTCAGCTTGTCTGTAACTGATTTCTCAAAACTCTTCTGACACATATGGCTCCTACAAGAGATCGTGTGACACACCTGTTCAAGGAGAAGGGTTTTCTTTTTCCTTTTCACTAGCTGATAAGATGTGAAAGATCCTTGGATGCCAGCACCAATTACGATGTAATCGTAATTGCTGGCCATGGTTGATAAATAAAAATGCAACACTCACAAACAAAAGTTCTCTGATTTATTCAATGCCGCTAGCACCGCCCATTAAAAAGTGGGTGGAGTAAAACGAATAACATTTTGATTTTCCCCTGAATTTGAACTGCCAGGTCCACATAAGAGTAGAGTCTACCCATGTGACCTGACAGTCCAGACATAATTTAGTACAACGAGTCTACTTTCAGCGCATTTTCCAGATAAATAGGACTTGCTGATCTCAACGTATTAGTTGATTGTCAGTCTAATGGTGGTTTTCTCCAAAACAGATCGGCATGATTTTGTTGTGTGAGTCATGATATGGACCACAGTCTGATCAATTGTAAATCACTCAAGAACGTCGACCATGAACACTTTTTGTGAATTCCTGAGAACATATGATAAATTCATAACAGTAATTGACAGTCACGTGAAATTAGAACTTGACTCACGAAGGAGGATGTGTGCGACGTGAACGAACATCTCTAGCCAAACAGAGTGCAGTGCGAATTTATGGCCAGTTGAAACTGCTGGCCGAGAGAGGGAGGGCGACAAGTGAAAGAGTTACTGTAGGTGTGAAACTTTATTTAAAACACTGTATCCCAGAAATAATTTTATGTATAGATGTATACATTCTTTTATGAACTCTACAGCAATGTTTCCCAACCTTTATGAGCCAAGGTACATTTCTCCCATCGGATTTTTTAAGGCACAGCATTTTGCAAAACGATTTAAAAAAAAAGTGGAATCACAGGTTAATTATCTACTTTCTAGTGGAAAAGCATTTTATTGTTTTGCCTATTATTACACGTGGTTGGTAAAGATCAATTAATGACACATTTTTATAGAAATAAATTTTTTGTCAAAAAAATAAAATTTACAATGGAAAATTTACCACGGCACACCTGATGATCTCTCGTGGCACGCTTTGTGCCAGGGCACACCGGTTGGGAATCACTGCTTTGCAGTAATGTATGCAAGTTATTTTATGTGTGAATTTAAAAAAATGGTTACAATTTCCTTGGTAGTAAGAATGTGGTGTATGTGACGTCAAACTTCGGAGGCTGCACTGACTGTGAAATCATTTCTATTATTTCCAGTTTTTGTGACATCTAATCTTTGATTTCAGTGCGTACATAATGCAAAAGCGACACTGCATTTGGGGGCAGTGACTATTTATTTGAGAAAGGAATTCAGTTTTTAAACATGAGTAAACTTTTTGGGGGAGAAATATGATCTTTTGCAGGTGATCCATGTTGTGCTGAAGCATCCAGGTTATGATGGCAAAAGTACAGTACTCAGTAAAGGCCGTATTCTACTGTTGGTGGCGGATTAAGTGGATTAGAGAATGCAAATTCCACACAGGAAGGCCGGAGCCCGCAATCAAGTCCTACACCTGCAATTTGAGGCTGACGTGCAAATTAGTCGACCACCGCGCTGCCCCGCATCTATCTATCTATCTATCTATCTATCTATCTATCTATCTATCTATCTATCTATCTATCTATCTATCTATCTATCTGTCTATCTATCTATCTATCTGTCTGTCTGTCTGTCTGCATTTACCGGTATGGATGTGCGTCTCTGTTGTCATGTCGTCGTCTATTCCTCTGGATGAAAAAAAATGATTTGGCGTGTGTTTCAGACACATTTTAAGATATTCAAGTTTCACCTCAGTTTGCGCCAGTCGTTTAAAATCAGAAATTCTTCCAGTAGTCTGGCTGCTGACCGACTGCAGTATATACATTGTCCGAAAGGAAGTGGTAGGATAGAGCAACAGCGTCATCCCACGATAAAATTACGGTACTACTACAGAGGAGGCCATTTTCCACTAGTTACCCGTTAAAAGTAATTACGAACGTAATCCTAGTCTCAAAATATTAAAGTAATGTAATTTGAATACATTTGATAGCTTTTGGATGACTCCATAATTAATTTAAAATAAATGTCATTACTTTTGGATCACTCCAAAAAGAAATATGAAGACAATTACCCCCAAAAAAAATATATGTATGATATATATTTTTACATATTTGTCTGGTCTTTTCTGTTTTATGGCTGTTAAATATGCATTGCTGGTTATGGAATGCTGGAGGGAGCCGCAACTCAAATCCAAAGCGTGAGGGAGACACTTGTGCACCATGCAAACCAATTGTGCACCATGCTGCAGAGATGGATAGATGGATGAATCGTGAATACATAGATAGGTCGATAGATAGATAGACAGATACTCGGCCTTGAGTACTCAAGTCCATTTTTTTTTTTTGTTGAATCGGAAGCGGCCATTTAAATCGCAAAATATTTTTAGCAACTCGACCAGTCCAACTTTGTTTTTATTCCTCGATGTGTGTGTGTTATGTATATTGGTATATATGGTGTACAGTATACTGTAATTATATTTAGTTATGGGTGTATATCATAGTCTTTGAATATTCTTTATTATTGTTGATATATTGATCGTGAAATACAGATTGGAGGGTAAGATCTGATAAGTTTGTACTATTTCTTGCTCCTTTTCGAAGATGTAATCACAGGTGCCAAACTCAGGGCCCGGGGGCCAGAACTGGCCCGCCACATTATTGTATGTGGCGCCCCAAAGCAAATCAAACATGTCAACTTCCATGATGCTCGCTAAAATCTCTGCCAAAATTTAAAATTCTAATATGTAATAAATAAGAGACATGTTGTGAGTATTTTCTTGTAACCAAACCCCTCATAACAGTTACAAACAATAGTTCAATAAACCATTAGGACTGAAACCAAATTTTAAAAAGTCAATAACGGGCCCTCCAAGGGAAACGGTAGCTAAAATGTGGCCAATGACAAAAATGAGTTTGACACCCCTGATGTAAATGATCAGGTCATTCACTATGTTTTCAATTGTGTTTTTGAGTCCAATTGTTGAATCAAATTTGCAACTGCTCGGCAGAGCACTTGTCTCCACCCCACAGTTTCCTGCCGAGTGCCTACATTTCTTTTTTTTTTTTGTCTTCCACAACCACCAGAATCGATCGAGATGTTCCACGGAATGAGTGGGTTACAACAGGAGACAGCCTATTCCGATCAAAATGTCAACAATGTCGTCTCGTTGTGAATGTTTGACAAACAATGACATATACTGCTGTGTGGGCGCTGTTCAATGGGTAAAGCATTGTTTCATAAACGATTTGTGGATAAAACAGAAGCGTTTAATTTATCTATATTTGTTTACTCTGTGACACGTATTAGTAACCGGAAATAACGAAAAACACCCTCGACCAAACGACTATTCGCTTTCTTGTCATTAGCGCTCCAGCTCCATTGCGCATGCTCGACCGGCGATTCGCGGTTGCGCCAAAGGGGAGAGGATGTTGCTAGCAGCCAGTGTAGATGCACTGCCGTTTTCACAACAATAACATCGTCAAAATTCCCATCCTTGCTTACATTTTCAGTGGATTCTATTGCAAACGCTTCTGGAAGTCGTGCAAGTTGGATCGCATCTGCTCATTTGGGGGTTATGTTTTGGGACTACGTCCTCTGTTGACAATGGGAGCGGAGGGGTTTGCAGATTTACAAGGCTCATTTTTGCAGGAGCAGAAACAAGAATCATGGCTGGCCAGCTAGGCCGCAGACGGAGGTTTTGTAGCAAACAACAGGCGTATTTGGATACAAGATACGCCATATTGGATTGCTCTTACCGCTAAAAGCTGGCTCAAAGAACCCAGTGTTTTAAAACGCGATTGTCGCTCAGTTTGGTTGTTGTGTGACGTGTAAGACAAGCTAACGAATCCGCTAGCCCCACAACCTTGACTGCTCGACGTCTTCGTTAGCCCATTAGCCGGCTAACGATAGCCAGCGTTTCTTGGGCAACAGTCCGTTGTTCAGTTTATTTTAAAAATACGTAGTGCGACATTGTTAGGCCAACACTCATTATCGTGTGCCTAGTAGTAACTAGGATCGCCCATTTAAGTTGTTACTTTTGCCCCGGATGAATGTGGGACAAAATGGAGACCCCGACGATTGTGTACGATTTGGATACATCTGGGGGCTTAATGGAGGTAAGGTTTCTCGGCCCAAAAGCCCACTTTACATTGAAGTACTCTTATAAATACATATGCTAGCATCTATGCCAATAAATATACAATTGACCATTTATATTTGGAGCGTCCCTGTGTATTGTACCGTGTTTCCTATCAACCTAGTCGTGTAGAATGGAAGGGGTTTTATGGAGGCCACAGCAACGACCCTTAAAGCCTTACTTGGAATGGCAACCGCGGACATAGTGCTGAACGCAGCGGCACTATATGTATAAATAAGTACGATATACTGAAAAAGAGTGACCGACTAATGCAAAACACGTCCACAGCAAATACAGACACTTCTGGCGCCCCCGAAGTCCGAGGAGGTCGAAAAGAGAAGTCGGAAGTTGGGAAGAGACGTCCGGAGAAGCGGCAGGGCCACTAACCACGACACCTGCGATAGTTGCCGAGAAGGGGGGGATTTGTTGTGCTGTGATCACTGCCCTGCAGCCTTCCACCTCCAGTGCTGGTAAGTTGTCATTATTTTCTCAACCTGAAAGATTGATTACTCTGAAACCAAATGCGCTTGCTAAAACTCCTTACGGGCGTCATGTACGCTGCCTGCTCCCCACCCCCAAGAAGGCGTTAGTAGTGGGCTTTTTCAGGAAAGTGTTGCGTATTTTGCTGCTGTAAATATTTCAACTGTTGTGAAGCAACTCGGACTGCCCCCACTCGCATGAACATGTTTTGCGCGGTTACCTATTAATTATCGACAGACTGCATATTGATATTTCTCAATGCATTCCCAGCCCAGTAGTACCCTCACTCAAATGCAGGAGTTGATTGGAATGCCTGTAGAAAAGCTAAATGCGTTGTGTGGCACGATGGATATGAATATCCATTTCTGTCATTCATTTTCTCTCATCCGTGCGCCTTTTGTTGGTTGTCTGCGGAGTTCAATGTAACGTAAAGCCGGCCATCCCACTCTGATCCGCTGCAGCCTCGGCTAAAAACGGTGTCTGTTTACAATATGGCAACCTCCCTGCTCCTTTCTCATCTAACGCCACATTACTAAGACTTTGAAAACGGAGCATCGGGTGGTCGTGGTGGTGGGTGGGGCATCTCCCAATGACAAATAGAAAATAAAATGTATTTTTAGGATTGTTCCACCATAAATCATCTTTTGAAGAATGTGTTTGCTACCACTTAGCATTGTTCAACGGCTAACAGCTTTGCAACTTGGGCATTGGTACATAGCTGCACAGACCACACGGCAAGAGCAATCTCGACATACTGTCATGGTTGTGAAGCCTTCTATTTGAGCTGCCCCTTTATTTGTCTTTTTCTGCTGGTGACCATTTTTCATATCTTAAATGCAGTGGCATATCTTGATCACATTTTGCTTGTTACTTTCTCTTGCAGCTGTCCACTATGACTGTACCTTAAATTGAACTTCCTTAGGCTCTTTGTGTTTAATACAACCAGCTTTAGTTCATTCTTTTTTTCAATCTCAATTTAGAAATATAAAGATTTTCAGTGCCTTAATATTTCTGTTAAATGTGCATATGAAAGTCAAATTAACCGGTCAATTTAAAGAATAAATAATCATCTTTTCAAACATAATGTGTTTAGCAGGTCTGCGTATATCAGCATTATACTGTGGCCTCTACCAACAGCACACAAAATGACTTTTTTCTCAATATTATGTTGAGTGCAATTTCTATTCATATTGGTCAGATGTTTACCTCAATATGCCCAGCCCTATGCCTGCAAGTCATTTGGTGCTCATCAGCAGGCATTTCTAAAACATAGTTCTGTTCAATAAATAGACTATGAATGTCCTTGCCAATTGGGAGTGTTTTTTTTTTGTTTGTTTTTGTTTTTTTTTAACTCAGTCTTTTTTAAAAATATTTATTTAAGACCATGCATATGTGTTATTCCATTTGAAACCTAACTACTGGCTTGCTGACTGATTTTTTTTTTCTTTTTTAAACCATAGCGACCCACCCCTCAGTGAAGAGAAGCTTCCTCCAGGAGAATGGATGTGTCACCGCTGCAATGTTCGAAAAAAAGTGAGTGTTGTTCACCGATAAAATTTCAGCCCTTCCACCAAACCTGTTTGCATTGCTTTAGACAAAATAATATCCTGATAAAGGTTGAATGTTTTTCTAATTGTCTCTTTCAGAAGCGAGAGCAAAAGTCTGAACAGACGAATGGGCTGCTGGAAAAGTCCTGTGCTAAGCGCGCTTCCTCTCCAACTATGGAGCTGGAGCTTGGCGCCGGCCCACTGCGTCTTGATGGCCTCCCTCCAGGGGCTGGAGCCGCAGGGCCTGGTCTTCGCGTGGCCCAGGTACGCCTCTTGGACCGTAGGAGTAGCAGCAGGCCAAGCAGCCGCCCAGGCACGCCAACTTCCAATACTTCGTCGACCCCTACTCCCTCAGAGGAGCAGAATGATGGAGAAGAGGAGGTAGCTGAGCCTGAGGATGATGTTCAGGGCAATGAGCTTGAAAATACCGAATTGTCTTCTCCAACCCCGCGTCTTCTCAAGAGGCCCTTTCAGCTGCTCATAGCTGCCGCTATGGAGAGAAATCCTACACAGTTTCAGCTACCCAGTGAACTTACGTGTACTACTGCATTGCCAGGTTGGTCGGTACCTAAGAAGCATTGTCAAATGAAAGTCAGTTTCTGCGGTTCTGTCTTCTAATAGGTTCACCACTTAAGCAGTTTGATAACAATCCCGTTATCTTTGTTCAGGCAGCAGTAAACGAAGGAAAAAGGAAGAATTACTTGGGAGGCCCTTCAGGCGACCGCAATATGAACTAGATCCTAATGGTCTGGTGCCGTTACCAGTCAAAGTCTGTTTTTCATGCAACAGGTATTCTGATGTACCATCGTATGTACAGACGTATACACAGATCTGCTATATTCTTGAATTAATTTTTTTATTTGTCGGATGCTTTTTTTTTTTTTTTTTTTTTTTTTTTTTTTTACTTCCTATAGGAGTTGCAGGTTGGCTCCCTTAATACAGTGCGACTACTGTCCTCTCCTCTTCCACACGGATTGTCTGGACCCACCACTTACAGCTTTACCTGCTGGAAAATGGATGTGCCCAAATCATGTTGAGCATTTAGTGGTGAGTGGTGTAGAACTGCAAGTAACTGCTTCTCAGTTTAAATACAATGCTTATCTTTCCTTTCCAAAATGTTTTTGTTGCTTAGCTAAACCAGAGGAGCCTGAGCCTGTCCAGTCGATGTCAGCTTTTTGATGAGTTTCAGGACAGAATGTCCCAGCATGCTGTCAAGTTGGACTTCCTGCGCAGAGTCCATCGGCAGTTTTCACCAAACTGTCGGACCACTCAGCAGTGCAACAAAAAGACTATCAAGGTAGACTGCACCTCACTACACTGTGTGTTTTTGTATCTATTCAGATAAAGCGGAAGATTTCAGAAAGTACCTGCTGCGATTGCTGTTTGGTTTCAGGTACCGGATGCCATCAAGTCTCAGTACAGGAATCCCCCCTCCATTCTACATCCTGCAGGCGTACGCCAATTGGAGCTAGTTTGTAGTGGTGTCCCTGAACATCCGTCCACAAATCACCTCACCACAGACGCTGAGCAGCAGGAGGTAGGATTCAAATATGATAGGGTTACCAATCATTGACATTTTAACGTAGCTTTTCAAATGAAAGCATGATACTGGAACAACGGTCAGTTGTTATGTCAAAGACACTGTTCAATTAATGTTAGGTGTTTGAGAAACAATTGATTCTTAGTTGTCCTGCAATGCATAAATGAATCTGATTGGTTACAGAATTTTAAGAATGCAATTTACTCTGGCAAAAACGAGAAAGTAACGCTGAAGCGCATCAGCCCCTGGGTGGTCTCTGTCGTTCTTATAACAACATACTGATAGGAATGTGCCATATTGTTCTGTCAACAATAATCCAGAGACATTATTTTACACAATACAAATATGTGATGTTGTGTTGGAAGTATCACAAGTGACAATTACATGCCTAATAAGTTGTTGCCCATCCAACAAGCAACCCACATCTGAAGACCATTTGCCATTGTGCTGCAAACAATTGCGAGTGTTTTTGATGACAGCGAATGTTACATTTTTGTCAGGGTTCATTCAGGGTTGTGAATGTTCACCAAACGGTCCCCGACTTTCACCAGCCGTTTTAGTGTTCATTTTAATTTTTTTTCTTGTTGCAAGGAAATTTTTGAACATGTTCAAAATTGCGACAAGAAAATTCCAGGCAAACATCTGGCCACCGTTTGAACATTTGCAACCGTGAATGAATCCTGACGAAAACGCAATCTATCGAATGCTCTATTGGAAAAGCACAATTGTTTGCAGCTCAGTGGGAGCAGAGCAGCAATATGACAGTGTCCCGTGACAATTATCTTGTCCAGCAAATGGGAGCAACTTAATAGCCACTCGTGGACTTCCAAAATACAGTTGGAGTCCCGAGTCACTGTTTTTACAAAATCGACGGTATGTATGATATGCACAGTACTGCATCTATGATATTCCAGCGTTTCTTAAATCAGAGATGAAAGTCCTCCGGATTTTCCCGGAATTCCGGGTTTTTCAAATTTTTATGAAAATTTCTCCGGAGAATTGAGGAAAATTTGCATAATCCGGATATTAGTTGACAACATTGAACGAAGACGCGTTTGAGTTCGTTGTATTGCTTTCACGAGCTTAGCCATATTGAGGCACTAACACTAGTAACAGTAAAGAGATTTTTGTTTGTGTAATAATGACAGAAGGCATGATGGCGTTTGACTCATGGTTTAGTAGAACGAATGGCAACTCGCAACAACAGTAGCAAGCGTCATTTTGCCTCTTGGGTTATACCATCTCAACTAGAACGTGGGGGATAGTCCCCAAACAATTTTCGTCTCTTTATAAACACACCTGCTAAACCCCAGTGGAACGAATAAAAGACGCCGTCAACAAGACAGTTAAAAAATATATTTGGCCAAAAAGGGAAAAACACAGATTGGCAGAAAATCGTGTCCGTCCGACTTCGAGTGTCGTCTCGGCT